GTATGAGTTTTTTTTTTTTTTTTTTTTGGGTGAAATTTCTTGATTTGATTAGTGCTTGATTATTTGTATGACTTTATAAAAGCTTGAATGTTATGACTTGATTATCGTCACTTGATTAGAGCTTGAATGTTGTGAATTTGTGATTTGTGAATGTGAGTTATGGCCGGATATTTGACCTTCTCTGTTTTGATCTTCTCTCCGATCTCATTTCCGCCATTAATGACGAACCTAAGGTTCCATTTCTTAATTTTTTTCTCCTTTTTATCTTTTTTCTACTTGATTAGATCTATGTTGCTGCTAATTGTTCAAAATCATGGAATTTCTGCATGTTTAAGTTTGTATTGCAATCAATTTAATTATTTTTAGGTTGTTTAAGTTGAATTTTGAGAATTCTAGTTGCAAATTATACTGGCATTTGGATTGTTTTAGAGAATTATTAAGTTTTGATTGGGAATTCTTGCTTAAACTATGAATGGGCTTGATATGGATTGAATTAGGAACCTATTATGTATTTATGTTATGGCAAAGAAAATGTGAAGATGCATTGTTTTCGCTGCTGGTTTTGGGTGGGCGGAGGCCGGTGCGGCACTTGACATAGTTAGCTATGGTTAAAATTATCTGGAAAGGAGATCCTAGTTCGATATACTCAAGGGCTAGTGCTCTTCAAGGGTTTCTTGCTGACCATTCACATGCAGGAGGGTGGTTTTGGTGGTGGTGTAGGAGGAGGGGGTGGTTGTTGGGGCTGGGCTGGGAAGTGGTGTTGGGCTGGGTGGGGAATTGTTTAATTAATTTTTTTTAGAAAAAAATAGACCATTCACATGCAGACACGTGTCAAGTAACCTGCTTTTTTTATGTATTTTTTTTGCTAATCATATAAGCTTTGACTATTTTTTAATATTATATACGGTCAATAGACGATGATGGGACAACCTATTACTCAAATCCTGGATCCACCACTGAATATGTGTAAGGTTTTTAGTTACAGGGTGGAGTCAATTTCGGCAATAGTCTACTAATGAGACTTTAATTTAGGAAGATGAGTTGACAATTAGAATAGTTCGAGGGCAATCATTCTTTACTAGATCTTAATAATCTATGGAGAATTCGAGATGATATATATCATAAACGTACTTTTTAGTTCAGTTGATAAGGTTTTGAAAGTGTTTGTTTGAAATCTGAGGTTGAATATCATTTATATTAATATCTTTTATAACACTCCATAAACAAAAGAAATATGCAACAAATATTTGTATAATAATATTATTTATTTTTTTTAAAAAAAATCCTTCAACAATCTAATAAAGTAATAAGTGGAGAAAAGTGCAAACAATAAACTCAAGCTACCCAAATATGATTAGTCGATTAGGCCAGGGACACAATTTGTCCCAACTCTCAACCTATATGCTTTTACAGTTTTACTTAATTACTATGGGATAACTTGCAATAGTGCTTTTTTCTAGGGCTGCAAGCCTGCAACAATTCTCAACAAGAATGAGGAAGAATTTTAATAATAAATTTTTTTCAAAATTTGTATTAGGAAAGGTTAAAATGTGAATAGTCTAATAATATATTATAAATAACATTTTTTTTTTCTTCTATACATTAGTAAAAGAATTTAGTTAAAATCGTTATGTGAATATCAAAAGGGTCCACCTGTAACATTTAGAAAAATTAAGGGAGAATTTTATTTTGGTTCCTAAACACTTGTGAAAAAATGATAAATGAGACTTTTATAAGTGTATAATATCTTTTACAATTACATAAGATAAAATAGATAGTGCGTGGGTCATGGGTAAGGTAGTTATTAGACGGGGTGTGAGGATGTACGTAAATGACTAGGTCCCGTTCACCTCACCTTATTTTTACTGATCTGAAATTATTTTTGCTGAACTTAAATTATTTTTACTGAATTGAAATTATTTTTACTGAACCGAAATTATTTTTATTGATTCTCTATTATATTTCTTCTTTAGAGTTACTAATTTTTACTGAACTAAAATTCTTTTTGCTGAATATTTTTTTTTTTTAAGGTGAACTGAACAGGACCTAAGTGGGTAATGGAATAGCGATAAATTTAGGTTTGTAGTAGAGCAAGATTGGGGACAACTTTTGTAATGCGCTGGGTGATGGGACGAGGATTGGAAAGAAATTTATTAAGTGGTAATAGTGATGGAAGGATCAATATTCATATTCAACCTATGTTCATTGACACTGTTAATAATGTATATTCCTTTAATTTTTGGTCATATCCATGAAGACTATTAAGTTCAAATTACATTCATATCAATATAGCATGTTATGTACATATAGTCTAGCTCCCGAGAGACACCATAAAATGATAAAAAGTGACTTATTTCATATACTATGAATAAATTTAAGGGAAAAAGCAGGTTTTTTACATAATTTGTGACATACATATGGACTACAGAGTGCAATGTACAACGTTTTTAAGAAATTCATTTGGTTAACAACAAGAAAACTGTACCAATTTGTTGATGAAAAATATATGAACAACACATATTGTCAAATGTATTTTAAAAATAGTTATCTAGCTAATAAACTCTTTTATAATAACTAAATGCATTATAGGCTCTTTTATAATAAATTCATTACTCCGTATAATATTTTAGAAAAATTCATTATTAATGTTAAAAATAGTTATTAAGAATTACCGTGCATGGCACGGGACCTAACCTAGTACTACCTCTGGTTTTTTTTATGTACAACTTTGAGGCTTTTTGCGGTTCACGAAGCAAAAGATGATAATGGTAATTAATGTATTATAGTGGTATGTAATTAAGGTGGAGAGAGAATGTTATGAAAATTAATCAACCACCCACTACCACCACCAAAACCAGCCAACACCACCGCCGCCTTCACCAACACCACCGTCTGCTTCACCAACACCACCACTACCACCCCCACGAAACCACCACCACAACCAACCCCACCCTCACGAAAATCCACCGACGGAACCACCACCTCCACGAACACACCAAAACCCAGAACAACGACCACCCACCAAACCCACCGATGGAACCACCAAAACCCACCCACCAGAACCCAGATCCGCGGCCACCCACCGCCTGCACCGTACTAACACCACTGTACCAACACCAGAACCCAATTCAACGGAACCACGAAACTAAACCCCCAACTCGAACCCAAAACCACGACCCACACCCCCTTCACCGAACCAACACCATTGTCGCCTTCAACGCGGGCCCTTCACCACTACCAGTACCACCATTACCAACCCCACGACCACCACCCTCATGAAAACCCACGACCATGACTAACAACCCCACGACCACCACCCTCATGACAGAGGAGAGAGAAAATACGGGGGAAGATGAAGATGAAGATGGTTTTGAAGAGGAGAGAGAAAATACGGGGGAAGATGAATGGGGATGGTTTTGGGTTTCTTGAATTGAAGATGAAGAGTTCATGAATTAGATTGGGTTGGTTGGGGTGAAAATTGGGTAAGAATTAGTGAGTAATAAAATCCGGTTATAGTTAATAAATTGTGTTTTAATTTTTTAAATGAGGGTAAAATTGACATTTGACTAGTTTTTTTTTACTAAAAATAGAAAGAGAAAAGAAAGTTGCACATAATAGTGAGCGGACTAAAATGGCAAAAGTTGCACATAAAAAAAATCGGAGGTAGTAGTTGTTACTTGTTAGTATTTATTTGTAGAAGGATATATCAAATCTTTTATATTAACTACTTTTTTAATATTTGAAATTCAAATTACTTTCTTAGAGGTTTTTAACTCATGATTAAATTAAAAAAAATAAAATTATTGTTATAATAGGTAGTACATAACATTCTAGCACAATTATGTTAAAAATCTAATTTAATATTTATTTCTTTTTACTTAATTTTATATTTTTCTCAAAAAAAAAAAAATAGTTGTCAATGTATATATTATGGAAAGACATATCAAATCTTTTATTTATGTATTATTTTGCGATCTTTTTCATTTATGTATAAGATTTGTCAAATATTTTATGTTTATTTTGCTATCTTTTTACTTATGTATAAGATTTGTTTTCTAAAGATTATTTAAAAAAAGAAAATTAAAATAAGAGACACACCAGAAAATGACACGTGTCATTGCTGGTGTGTCTTTTAGTATATAGTTATTGATTGATCATATGTTTTATTTATTGCCTAACTAAGATCATGTTAATATACATGATTTGTACTAAAATGAGATTATTTAAGTTCTCTTATATAACGTCTCGGGAGCGCTCGTTAGCTTTTGCCTTGTTATTAAAGTTATTGAATTAAATTAATTAAAATGATTTTTTTTTTTGAGAGCAACTTTTATTTTTATTTAATTAAAGACAATTGGTTTTTTGGGTCCATAGTTACACATCAAATGTTCCCGTGTGGTGTGGAGTCAAAGAAGTTACTCCTCTTCAATTTCCTATGCTCTTAAAATGAAGTACAATTCATGTATAGTGCACTAAGTCTATTAAAGCATTTTTTGGAATTTTTTTTATGTCACCTACCTAATTGTTACTTTCTCCGTTCATGTAAGAAGGTTACATTAAAAGATTTTATACAAGTTAAGATTAGTTATGGTATGAAATCCATTAAAGATGGGTTCTATTTAGCTTAAAAAATAAGTTTTAGTGTTAATTAAGCTTAATTAGCGCTAATATGATACAAGCATATGTACAAATAACATGAAAATCAAAATCAATCTAATTAAATAGATTAAGTTTAGATAAATTCAGGTGAAAAGAACTCACCCTAAATCTATTTCGCCTGTTACGCCGGCAAAACTTCTTAACAAAAGTCCAAATTTATGCCACTTGTCAAGCAATAGAATTTATTATCAAACATGATCCATCCAACTCAAAATAAAACATTTGAATGGAAATAATTCAATGCACTTAAAATAATAAATTAAAATATTTGACAACTTTAATTAAATTAATTTTATTTTCTTATAAATAGAGAGACAAAGGAAAGAGAGAGAAATGGGGGAAGAGACGACAGACGAGGAGAGCACGTATAAGTTGACAATGACAATGTATAAAGACTAAAAACGCGATTTCTGATTTCAGATTATTTGCCCACCTCAATTTTATTAATCTTTTTTCTTTGAATAAATTTTCAACCTTTTATATCTCTCTAACATTTCCTCCATTAATATACCTTCTTCCTCTTTCTCTCTCCTCCATTTCCTCTCTTACTCACTCTTCTGCCAAAAAGATTTCTTCTTTTTTCTGGGTTTTCGTTGAATTTTATTGGGGTTTGGGTAATTTTTTGGATTAGGGTCAGAATTAATTTTAAATTTAGGGGAAAAATGATGATGACAATGGAGGGAACAATGGATGAAAATGTATTAGATGATATAATTAGGAGATTATTAGAAGGAAAAGGAGGAAAACAGGTGCAATTATCTGAAGGTGAGATCCGCCAACTTTGTGTCAACGCTCGTAATATCTTTCTATCTCAGCCAAATCTTCTTCAACTTCGTGCCCCAATTAGGATCTGCGGTAACTTTTCTTTCCTAATTCATAATTAACTGCAGTTTTTAAACTAGTAATTTTTAGAAATTTTTTGTTTATTTGGTATGTTGTTTAATATATCTGAAATGGGATTGGATCAATTAATTGGATTAATTGGGGTTGTCATGGAAGGATAATGATGTAGACGGGATTTGATATTGGGTCTTGGTACCAATCCTAACCTTGTAAGTGAATGGACTTAAATAATTGAATATCTTTGTGAAATCATTTTGGTTTTTTTGGGGAATTTTGATGAATTGGCTTATGGAAAATTGCATTTTCTTGGGGTTTCTCTCTCTCTCTTTTTTAATAATTTGTGCATGTATTTTGTTTTGTAGCAAGAGGAAACATTGAGATTCTTGAAACAATTTTTACAGAAAATAAATAAACTACTCTGTATGATTTTAGTTATGAATTGGTATTATAGTTGTGTTTTGCGTTTTGCTAATCCAATGTGCAATGGCACAGGAAAATGTGTATGATGAGAATATGACTCAAGTAGTATGGTCATTGAAACCGATTTAACAGTCGTGGAAAATTGTGACTTTTGTGCAACATTGAATAACTTGTAAGGGAGAAGACTTTAAACATCGGTTTTGTGAGTGTGACTAATCGATAATTTATTTAAGCTTGCATTACTGTAATGGTTTATCGACATATGCTCTTTCAATAATGACATGTATTAATGTACGGAGTATATATAGTTATATACACAACCATTGAAAACCCGGATATTCACGGTTTATTGCATCTGCTCATTTGCTCATATTTGCCACTAGTATCACTCACATAAAGACTACCTCGCAGGTGATATTCATGGACAATATCAGGATCTCCTAAGGCTTTTTGAATATGGGGGTTATCCCCCAGCTGCGAATTACCTCTTCCTTGGAGATTATGTAGATCGCGGCAAGCAAAGCTTAGAGACAATTTGTTTGCTTTTAGCATACAAAATAAGATATCGTGATAAGATTTACCTTTTACGAGGAAACCATGAAGATGCAAAAATTAATCGTATTTATGGATTTTATGATGAGTGCAAAAGAAGATTTAATGTTCGTCTATGGAAGATTTTCACAGACTGCTTCAATTGTTTGCCGGTTGCTGCACTTATTGACGAAAAGATTCTTTGCATGCACGGTGGCCTGTCTCCAGATCTACAGAATTTGAAACAAATAGACGAAATTCAGAGACCAACAGAGATACCAGATAATGGTCTCCTCTGTGACCTTCTCTGGTCTGATCCAGATGCTAGGAATGAAGGCTGGACAGATAGTGACAGAGGTGTTTCATGTACATTTGGGTCTGATGTGGTTGCTGAGTTTTTAGATAAGAATGATCTTGATCTGATATGCCGCGGTCATCAGGTAGAAGAAACTCTACTTTTTGAATGATATACTTTAAAATCATCATACATGTTAAGATCTTCAGATAATCTAGGTCTCATATTCCAGATGTAGGCTGTCATTAACTCGTAACTTTTGCTTCATCTCTTCTTTTTTTGTCGAGCATAAAGCAATTCATCTCATGCAGTGAAAAGAATGAAAACTATTATTGCATATTTGTTACATTGGGTAGCAATCCTTGACCAAGATTGTCCCTTATTAAACTGCAGGTTGTTGAAGATGGCTATGAATTTTTTGCCAAGCGAAGACTAGTGACTATATTCTCAGCTCCAAATTATGGCGGAGAGTTTGACAATGCTGGAGCCCTTTTAAGTGTTGATGAATCCCTAGTATGTTCTTTTGAGATACTGAAGCCACGCGACCAAGGAAGTAGTTCCAACGTTCAACTTAAGAAGGTAATTTTCAGAGCTTGTCATCTAGTCATTACGTATGCTTAGGGATATAATATAAATTGACTTGTATGTTTTGTAAGGAAAGTCTGATGGAACTTTATCCCCAAGAACTCAAGTATGTGTTTACTTTTACATTACCCACTCATTATCATTATGAGTGGTAATGATTCCTTACAAACACACATACTTAGAGGTGGAGAAATGTTCACTTGAACATTGTCGTGAGCCTTTTCTTGCAAGACTATACGTTCTCCATACTAAAATGGAGCTTGCCATTTTAAGTTATCCAAGTGGCTTGACTTGTTTTATCTTATTTTGCTTGAATAGGTTCCTAAAGCCGGAGGAATCTAATGCAAAATGTGTAATTGTAAATGAAGATCGCACAGTTGAAACTTTCAAGTATCCTCCTGAGTTCAGATCTCTCGTAGTGATATGGTCCGTGAGAGAGTGAAAATCATCACTGACTAAGTTTGAAAATTCACAAACTCATGGCATGCCTTGCAGTTACTGGAATGAGAAGTTCATCTGACAAAACCTGTAAATCAAACACCATCCATCATTCTTTTAGGCTATACCCTTCTCTGTTTTCTTGTATGTGTTGGTGCATTTTGTAGGCAGATAATGAAGTATTTTAGGTTATCCTTTGTCCTTTAGACCGTTTTGTGTATCAAGTTACGTCGCATGATTTGTTCTCGAAGTCTGACTAATTAAGATTATAAACATAGTTTGTGTATCAATCGTGTTAGTGTGAAATATTGTATTTCTTCTAATGAAGAGCAATATCAATTCAAAGGGACTAAGAAATTGAAGGTTGCATATTTTGACGTTGGCCAACTTTGATGACGGCCATCAAGTGACTTGTAGGCATGATCAACGGGATTTGAAATCTTATATTTCGACCAACTTTTCTAAGTTGGTGAGATTATTAGATCCAGAAAATACTACATAAAAAATAAAAGCAGGCTATAAATTATTGAATATGATTGAAAAAGATAGTCCAGTTGTAGGCCTAATATTAAACTCATCTGCAGACACGATCATGAAGTTATTAACCTACAGATTAATTTATATCTTCACTGTTTGATCTTGAACGTGCTTATAAATTATAATGGTGCTCCCACAGGGACACACGCTCCGTTTGGTGCTTCACGATGGAGAATCCGGCTTATATCTCCTGGTGGAAGGCATAAGTATTGTTCTATAGAGGGGTATCAAGATATTACAGTAGTATTTCTTCCGTATCTAAGTCAATGACTTATACATGCATTCTATAAAGAATTGCAGGGCAGTTCTGAACAATGCAAAGTGTAGCGAGGATATTTAAAAATGTTCCAAAATTTCTTCATATAATTAATTCTATGTTGTGAACCACACAAGCCAAAAGAGAGTGGAACAAAACCGAGGATTACAAGAATGACTGCAAATCAACAATACTATTTTACAAAGGAAGAAATTGGGCCAGAAATCTGGGAGGGCTAAATCCTATCTTACAGCAGTCTTCCTACTACCCTGGGTGGTCGATGGTCTTTGGCCTGCTTTGGATTCCAAGTGCCTAATCCTAGCAGCACGAATAATTGCAGCATGCTTCTGCTGTTGGCTGTAGCTCTTCCTCTTACTGCATTGCATGCAAAATGTAAGGCTAAAAGCATATCGGAGAATTAGCAGATAAAAACAGCAAAGCTAGCATAAATACCAATCATTTTTTTTACCAAGATAGCTGCATTAAAACGCCTTCAATATCAAATAATGGTTGCTATGTTACAGGAACTTTGGCATTAATACTTCCATAAAATTTTGCGGGACTTACGGCCTTGTTCCACATTTGGATATAATTAGTTTCAAGGAACACGTACAGATGTGCTCAAGCAACTTCATATAAGGGCTAATAATTTTATTTCATTTCAAAAAAGTTCAGAAAAGCTTGAGAGTATAAATTTTGTTCATTTCATAAAGTCCAGAAAAATTTAGATAAGGGTTATCAAGTAAAAGAACGAGGCCTTTAGTGTTGCAAAGAGTGAACAAAGTCAAATAAGTATAAATGATAAAACGAAATAAGTGTCTGCTTCTTTTGTGTTTGGAATTAAGACTGCTTAACAGACGAGCAATACATACATTTCTTTTTTTCAACATATTGATGCACAAGTTTCTTGCTGATAATAACATGCCAGTGTCTGACATCAGTAAGAGTAACGTAGCTTGCCAAGACTTTAACAAAATGTGTCATTTTAAGACTTTGAGCTGATAACATGCATCAACTCTTTTCTAGCCTAAACCCCAACTCATCCATTAATATATATAAGGCCAAAACATTTCAAACAGCTAGGTTTCTGTTTGTTTTCTTGTCAATTTTATAATCGGGACATTAGCAGCAAAGGGAAAATGATTCTTCCCAATCACCAGAAGCAAGAATGTGACACATCTTTGTAAATAGGCAGGTGCCAGGATACAGGACATAGCAGGAATGGCTTAAATAAGTATGTTACTGTACAACTGCTAGATTTATTTTGATCTCATCAGGAAACAAAGGTAGTAGTCTTATCTGAAGACCATACCAACCAAACAATGCAGGCTTAGTGAAGAAAGTCCTAAATCCTAATTGCTATAAAGAAATCCTCAGTGTACACAAATAATTTGTTAAAAACTTTAAGAAAAACAGTGTATCAGATGTTTTAACACACAAGACACACACGCAAAGATACACACACATCAACCTTTAGCATCAACAAATTACGACTAATTTCAAGAATAGGTCCATTTCGGTCAAGAGAATGTAAATGGTCTAAGGATGTAATGCACAAGAAAGCATCTAATCTCAAGATGACCTAACCCCAAAAAAGAAAATAAGAGATCAAATTACACATCATAAAATAGAAAGATTAAATTAATAAAGTTAGGCAGGTAGGAGTTACTTATTGAAAAAGACCGACCTCATAAAAAAGAGTCCAGCAGTAAGCACCAACCCTCCCACTGCCCAGGAAACTCGTTCAGCAAATGGCATTTCTTTCATCCACTGCTGGAAATCTTCAAACAATCCATTGTGCCCATCTTTCTGAAAGTTGCTGGTTTGTGGCCTCTTCCACGACTCTGCAATGGAGTCTAGACTTGCTTTCCCACCATAGCAAGATGTTTCCTCAACAGTAAGGCCTGAATCACTCAATGGCGTGACAGCAAAACCTGCTGCACGGCAAAGTTCTGTACCATTAGAGATCCACTCAGAGGCCCTACCACATACAAAGTCTCCTACTCCACAGGGTGCAAGAACCTGGGACAAAATGACTGATCAGGAAACTCCAGAAAAACTTTAAAGCATACTGTATGAATCAATATCACGCACAACGAATCTGTCAGCATATACAATGTAATACACATAAACTAGTTACAGGTTTAACAAATTGAAAGAAATAGGTCTTAACCTACTACATATAAAAGGAAAAACCATTTTAAAGTTTTTCACGCTATGACTATTTATAACTATTGTTCCTATCCAAAATCAATCAATCTAAAGAACAAACCTGTGTTATAGCATCCATAGAGAGATATGCATCAGAACAAGCCTGGAACAGTTTTTCACAAAAAGAGGCACATATCAAAGGAGGACCCGGATTAACACCAACATCTGGATCACAAAGAGAGCACTCCAGCATCTCCCATAAGTGCAAGCACTCTTGGTTTGCTTCCCCTGTTGTTGCCAACTTCCGTATAGAGATAAAAGCAGAATGTGTGTGCGTCGCATCACAGCAGGTGTTTCTTCGAAACATTCTGCATAGTGTTAAATCTCTAAAGCTTCTAGGAGGTTTCCCTTCTGATGAGAATGGGCGGAAACGACCTCCAGGAGAAACACAGACCCCATTTGATTTTTCTACATTAATAACTAAAATCAGTTAGAACTAAGCCACAGGAGTGAGTAAGAAAATTCAATAAAAAGTGTTGCAACTAAAACTACAATGCATTTACTTGTAATCTTGCCTGAATAACATAATTTATCACCCAAATTTCAAACAAGACGTTCTATTCGCATAGCTATATAAGAGTAATAAGACATTACTTAAGTTGTGGCTACTTTGAATGAACCAGAAACTTTTTCCTTCTTAGGAAGAAGAGGACAAACAAAGCTTGTATCCCTTAACAGAGATCTTTTAAACTTGATGGTCATGGATTACTAAAAAATTATAGCTTACTATTTGATACAACTTATCCTAAAGCACATTGATTCATCTTCTTATAAAGTTAGGCACCATAGGAATCCACAGAAAATTTAATATACACCTGCCTGAGATCCATCCAAAATACAAATTACTAAGTAGCTTCAAACATGTCAAACTCCATCATGAATTCAACCCCAGCCCTTCATAAGTTCACATTACTAGCCTTATGAAGTCCCAAGGAAACTTCTAATATGATTTTTTATGCATCCATTAAACTAATATAGACAGTCTTTTTTTTTTGGTAGAATATATAGACAGTCTTTACTAACTTATTTTCCAGATCTGTTGTCTATATATTGAAACAGTAAAACCTGAATGAGCCGGAATTTCTTAATTCCCATGGCTTGCTACTCACGAGTTTATCGAACCTCATGTTCTTTTGTGAGAAGGATGTGAGTTAAATTAAATTGGCAAATGCTCTGCACCTGCACATCTGCAATAGAAAACTCTTGGCTTTTTTTCAACCTTTGCAGTGTCTGAGGCTTCTTTCTAGTACAATCAACAATGCATATGAAGTTGGATACCTTTCACCATCAACCAGCACGAATACCACTTCCTAGTCTATATGTAATTCTATTTGTAGAGATGCCTGACAGGGTATCAGAATAACTCTAAATAACTTAATAGTATATGGTTCCTTGCCAAGGGCAGACAGTTCAAAGTGAGTCACAAGATTCCTACAATGTATGAAACTATAAACTTATCATGAATTTCCCGAAGTTAGGTACATACCCCCTCCGTCTCTTTATGTTTGCCCTGGTTTCCCTTTTGGTTTGCCGCATAATACTTTAGGTATGTTGTTTCCACTTATTTTTCCATTGTACTCAAGTAAGTATTAAATAATGTAGGAAAAGAACAAAACCACTACCCCACTTGTACAGCATTTGCCCAACCCTTTGAAAAAGTGAAATATATGCTATGAGGCAAACATAAAAGAACGGAAAAAGTACATTGATCCAGGGCATAGCTAGCTCCTCAGAGACTACAATTTTATAGATACTGATCCAAGTTAACCAAGTAATGAGCATGAGGCTTCACATCAATATCTATTAATCATAAATGAAGTACTACAGTAGCTTCTACATGCTCGAGGCTATCTGCAGCAGCTTATGTTTGAATCACGAGTTTGTGAATACTCCATTGATGTCAGCAGTAGTAGGCTAATCCAATCCCAAGCCCCCAATTAAGGTTCTATTCCTACCAAATAGACAATTTAGTGTTAAGATCACCACAATTTAAAAAAGGACATATAAGCCTTAGAATTACTTAGCAATACGTGAATGATTTCCTACGAAATGTGAAGGAGAAAATAGTTTTCTAAATTTAAGAAGTAATATTTAGAAATATAGGATCTATATAAACTTAAGTTATGATTTGTTATATTCATCTCAAAAACAAAAGAAAACATAAAGCAGAGAGAGAAGTTTTAAGAGAATTTTTTAGAGAAAATTCTCGGATGTGATTGGGGTGCATATGGTTGTGAGTTATAATAAGTGTTGTGAACACTTGTGTATTATTTATCTTTTTCAATAAATTTTGCAGCTTAATTAGAGATACAAATATTTGTTCATTTATATGTATTATTCATATATATTTTTTATTCCCACTAAT